AAAATTTGTCAAAAAATATGAGAAGAGAGTAATATCTAATTGTCCGTTTCCTTTTTTCAGCTAAAAAATATTTTCAATCTTCACCGAAGTACGCTGATATGTATGCGTTTATAGAGGCATTCAAGTTGAAAGGATTCAAGAGCAGATCCATAGAATATTTGTTGATTTCATGAAAATTTCAAAAATTCGCTCAATGTTCACATCTTCAGTTGAGTAACTGTGGAAGTAGTGCTATGCTCTATATAAAGTCTCTTTTTTTTTCTTTCAGGCTGCTGACTTTGTTCGGGCGTTTGTGATGGGTTTTGATGTGGATGATGCATTGGCTTTGATACGGTTGGATCATTTGTTCCTGGAAAGTTTCGAAATTAACGATGTGAAACCGTTGAAAGGTGACCATTTATCGAGGGCAATCGGTCGTATCGCAGGCAAAGATGGTCGAACAAAATTCACGATTGAGAATATCACAAAGGTATCGAATGAGACACGGTGGAAGAAGTTTGAATACGTCCCTCTTTTAGTGAACTTCCTTTCATTGCCCTTGTTTGTTGTAATGTTCGTTTCGCTTCTGAGAATATGAATATTTCTCGTTTACCTGAAAAATTTCTCAGTTGAAAGAGATGATTTCCTTCCTTAGGTGGCGAAGTCTTCCATGTAGGTGGAGTTTTTCGTTTCCAGAAAGAGATATTCCGTTATCCGTTACTTCTCGGATAAACAGTTAATGTTTTGCATGTTTTGTCTCATTCATCCTCCTTGCGGAATTTCCTTTGTAGCGGTGAAACTTTTATTCAGGAAATTAAATTCTGCCGTTGTAAAAGAACAAAAGAAAAAATTGTCCTTCACGGATGTAATTTACCGTTTCTGTCTTCGTAACTGATGCTGCTGCTTTCGTGGTGCTTCTTCTTCGTCTCTTTTTGGTCTTTGCTTTTTCATTTTATGACATTTTTCTCATCTGATTGTGAGCAGAAAAAGCGACAAAAGTTTCGAAAGAATGAAAATCTCATTTGAATTGTTGATGCGATGTTAATTGTTCGTTTGGTTGTTTGGTTAATATTCGAAAAATAACACCAAACAATAACAACGATCCCCATCTGTTTGAGTCATCAGTGGCGTTGAAACGAAGATAAAATCTTTGCATTCGAAAAAAACCTTTCAAAAGACCTACCGCCTCGTTTTCGTTCAGAAGAAAAAGAGCGCAAAAATTGTTTCATAATAAGGCCATATCTATTTGAACTACCGTACTAAGAAGTTCCAACAAATCTGTCTATTCGTTCATACGTTTTATCCTATTGTAGGTTTTTTTTCCTCCATCATACGGTAATTTTTTATAATTTCCTGTAATTTCTTCGATAATTTTGGCAAATCATCCAGTTATTTACACGTGCGATGATCAGTACTGCAGAGTCAATCGAATTTGATTGCTATCCATAGTATTGATGATCTTAAGCGTGTTTGCCCCAGTTCATATAGAATGTGATCTGATCGGGGTATGAAAGAATGGATTGATCAGATGTATGGATTGATTGTTAAGGATAGTTGACTCTCATCATTTGTTTGTTCATTTTCAGACGCGAATAGTATTGGCCGAGAGTAAAATTCATTTGTTGGGTGCATATCAGAATATTCGAATCGCACGGAATGCAATCTCATCGCTAATCATGGGTTAGTGATTTTGTGATAATGTTGTGATAATCGGAGAAGTTTGAGCGATTCAAAGAGGTGGTAATGTCGGAGTACTCATAAAATTCGATTGATCAGGCGATGTGTTTGCTGAGGGTAGAATTCCCTTCGAATTTGCATCTTGGAATGTGTTCTTCTGAGGGCAGAATCATTGAAAATTAGCTGTTTTCATGTGATCATAGAGGATTGTTGTTGTGCTCTAGAAGCACGCATGATTTAGCACCTTGCGTTTTGCTCATTATTTATGTGAATTGAGAATTTGTTGTGGATATCAGTGAGAAAAATCTCTGACATATGGTGTTCTTGCGAAACACGGTGAATGAGCAATTAAATTATTCGTGTTCATTTTTTCAATCAAAATTGTTAGATGTTACGGTAAGAACCAGTTTTTTTTCCTAGTCTAATGGGTCTCGCCGATAATGTATTCGTGTTTCATTGTTTCTTTTTTTTGTTGTTTCAGGAAGCCCACCGTCTAAGGTGTACGGTAACTTGAGAAATTTAGCAAGTCGTGCCAGTGAACGTCTCTGAACTTGAAGAGAAACAAGCAGCAGAAAGAATACCTTCAATTCTAATTACATCGATGAATCGTAAAAATGAAACGATATAATGCAGACACAGTGATATAATGTACTGATAATGAAATTACCTATTTTATTGGTTAAGAGAGAGGGAGTTTAAAGAAACTTTTTTCGTCAGCAATGTAACTCTTATGTTGTTCTCTTTTGCTCTCCCGTCTGTTTGTTGTTGTTATAATGTGATGTTGAATATGAATATAAATTTGTTATGCTAATATGCGAAATAAACTGAAAGATGATATAAATTATTGTTTGGTTTATATCTCGACGAATTTGCATTCAAAGAATACATTCACGAAGGGAGCAAGTAAATCACTTTGCAAATCATACTAATTGGTTATGAAAGATTTGATTTTCCGTACGACCAGCTGAGTATGGATCGTAGGCGAATGTATGAGCTGATTAGCGAATTTCGTTTATAAGTTTGAGGCAGAGGTGGGCAGTAGTGCACTATTCTGATAATTCGCTAACATGAAAATAGCGGAATATCTGATTCGCTAGTACTGAAGTAACTATTCTCTCAATACACAAATAGGGAAGTAGCAGAGTGATTTGATGGCATGTTGATCTTCGAGTTCAGCCCATATGAAGGAGCAAATTCAAGTAGAGTTTTAAAATAAAATATCTCATCTATGGTGAATGAATTACTCTGAGAGTTACATATTGAGGGAATTTATGCGTATTTCAAGGAAACTGCCTAGTTATTTCGATTCATTGCGTTGCACCACCGACGTCGTCATATTGTCACATTTTAATGGAGTTCTTTTTTTTCGGTGAAGT